AGTAAATAGCAACTTAGCCCCACGAAAATAATGCGCCCTATAGTGTCTAGGTTTTGCGAATACGATGAAGCTGACTCGCCCCGACTTGGTTGTCGGTTGTTACCATTTTCATTTATGGATACACTTGGTAGTCTGTCGGGGATCGTCGGTTCCGGCTCGTGTCTGATCGCGGTCACCCGAGCGCGTGGGGCGCTGCGACTATTATGTGGGCTTGTTACCATTTTTTGATTTGATTACTCACTTCTCACTCGTTAGTAGCCGTTTTGGTTACCGGTTGTAGTGTGCGTGCAATTAAACATGGATGAGTGTCGCTGCGTAATCGATCAACTACTTGAAAAGTCATTCTCCTTGTATAATTTTTAAGAAGAAAAAGGAGATCATTGAAGATGGAAGACCAACACCTATTTTAGATAATTTTAAAAAGCAAAAAAAAACGTAGTTTGATATTTTAAATTAAGTTGGTATATGGAAACTCTTGGTTATGGTTGCAAAAAAACAGATTTTATTGTTGGCGATGTGATCTGTTTTATACAGAAAAAAATGGGTGGACCAGCAGCGGAGTCAACAATTTAAATAATTTTAGAGCTCTAAAGGGGAGACATGAAATTTCTCCTATACATGTGAGATGTGTAGCCAATTTAATTCAGTTTGGCAAAACAAGAATCGAAAGTTGTCTTAACCAAGCTTTTAGGCAGCACACTTCTAGATACCGCATGTTTTTTAGCAAAACAGAAATCACCGTTCATTTTGAAGGGGATGACTCTGACAATAGAGGAAATTACAGGCAAAACAGATAAAAAATTGCCGAAGATCTAGAAACGTCGACTGTTTTTTCGGACGGCTTGGATTAGTCATAGCATGAGGTATATCAAATGAACCAGACGCTCAGTCCAGGACTGTTTACCTTAATTTAAAAATAGTTCAAATAAAATATCTAAGATAAGCAAAAACTTATATTTGGGAGGTTCAAAATAAACTTTTTTAATAAGATTTTTCACATCTGGTTTTTGGTAACCCTTTAGGAAAAGTCACGCGTCGCCACTGGCGGGCATTATTTCATTAAGCAATAATAAATGAATAAATTACCTCGCGTTCCTCAACCGACATATCTTGCGGCTTCATGAAGTCCGTCGAAGCTGCAGGGTTAATGTTTCCTTTGTTGTATTCCATTGGAAATCGATGCTCGGAAATGCTCGTGTAAGTGCCACTAGATACACCTGGCTCCTTGGCAAAGTACGAATTTTTCGGCAATGCCCCTTCTGAACGTATATTACGCAATTTAAGCGCTACTTCATGGTCTTCTTCTGCGGAGAAGTCCCTCTCTACAGGTTTTGCTATGTTGCCCATAGAATATGCCGAATCAACCATGAGGTTTCTATGAAGTCCTCCTGAGGCTGAACCAGGATATTCCACTGAGTCTATATCCAACAAATCGTCGATCTCCGAGCTTTGCTTAGCGAACAAACAACCAGAATTCTCTACTTCTGAAGGATAACATTGAACGAACTCTTTTAAACCGCCATCTAGGATAAATGGGAGCTCCCGGTAGCTTCTGTTGCAGTCCCACTGTAAACAAAAAGTTAAATTAGAATTCTAGGGTTTTTCAAACAAATTCACAATTTCACAATACTCAATGACGAAGAAAATAGAACACATTTACGGTATCGTTAGATTTCGCAAATGTGTTGGGCCAGGACCACCTAGATGTAGTATACACTAGCTCTTCTTCCGATCAACCGACACATGTTCAATTGGATCTAGGAGGCCAAGGAAAGGGTAAATTTGACCATTCCGGGGGTAGACCACTGTAGTTATAGCAATATGAGGACGGCCATTATCTTGTTGCGAAACAGGGTTTTCAAGTGTTTGAAGAGATAGCAAAAAATGGGATTCTAGTATTATCTGGATATACCGTCATAGTTCACCTAATGGTAGCTAGAAGTGACTTGACATCATGTTTAATGGCAGCCAAAGCTTTAACCTTAATATCGTTCTGCCTGCTTCTTTGATATACTAGATCTCGAGACCTTTCGTCCATTAAACATGTTGGGATATGATGGAAAGTAAAGTAACTTCTTGTATACCTCCAGAAGACGTAAATCACCTCATCAGAAGCATACATTATTGCGAATCCAGCAATATAGCAAAACGTTGCCGCTTCAAAATGTGATCACCGCTTTCCCAGAAAACTGGACATTTGCTCATGCCCAACCTATTCAAAAAAAAAGATCTAAGGCCGACCATTACAACTACATACATGTAGCTTTGCTTTCTGTTATAAGGTGATGGAGAGGTACATAAACCGGGAGCTTCTGGAGTACCTCGAAGGTCTCGGCTTGATCAGCGACAGGCAGTATCGTTTCCGGCACCAGCGATCCACAGAGGACCTCCTACCTTACGTCACGCAACAGAAAGATATCCGTAGTAACTGACGGGTTCTCCTCTTCATCCCAAAAGTCAACGCGGGTGCTCCCAGGGATCGGTCTTGGCTCCGACACTGTTGCATTTCAAATCTGACCAACGATTGGGAGAAACGTCATCTGATTTGAAAATCAAGTATTTAATAAATCTCCTCTGTACTTTCAATTTCACTAGTAGATTTGGTAATACGGATGCCATGCGCTTGATGCATATTCCAGCTTAGAACGCGCCAAGGTACAGTATAAAGCCTTAGGTGCCGTCTCACTACCAAATTTCACAGTTTCTTATACAAAAAAAAACGAGACTTTTCATAGCGGATGATACTATTGTATTAATATGAATCTGTAAATTCTAATTTAGCATCAGACAACACCCCTAGATCTCTCACTTCTAAACAACGCATCAAACTGACACATTCCAGTTGTAAGCAAAAACTTTTGGGTTCGTTTTCCTGGTAAAAGAACAGGTCTTGCACTTGCTAACATTCATCAGTTCAAGTTCTGCCAAAAATGCCGTTCATTTCGGATGGTCAGAGTTCAGATCACAGAGGACTTGATGTGGCACGAACACATCTCGTTAATAGCGGCAATTGTTGAGAAAAAGCTAGACCATTTGTTTAGGGCTAATAAGTACTTTTCTCCTCAAGACCTCCTCACTCTGTATAAGGCCCACACAAGACCTAGCCTCTAGTACTGCTCACATCTTATGGGATTTGCTCCCAGAGCTCTCCTCCATGATGCGGCCGAGCGATGTGCCTGCCAGACAGACCCGCCTGACTACGGCCTCCCATCCTAACCGTATCGAGCTTCGTATACTGAACTGACCGATACGACCGCTTCTTTGTCTCCAGGGTATCGAAATTGTTGAACAATCCACATGAGAAGAACTTTTCCTAGTTCTACTAACCTTAGGCAGTTCAAGAATTGGACTAACAAAGTTTCTTTAAGCTCATCGTGGCATTTAGGCTTCTGCCTTAGCGGCTGCTTATTGTAAACAGATACCTCCCCTTTGCCCTGTCTAACTGTATACAAAATTTCATTCAATACAATCATTTTTCCTGGCTGTTTATTTTCTTTATCTCTGAGTATATAACAGTACACACAAAATAATCAAAATTAATGCTGCAGTTACTGAGATGAGAAACTTACGAAAACATTAATGAAGATTAGATTCTTGCTCAGATACTCAGACCATTTAGTTTAGTTTAAAATAAACCGAAACGTCAAAGAAAATGTGAAAATGTTTTCATTATATAATAATAATAATATAATAATAATCTTTATTGGTTCTGTAGATCATTTATCATGAAATCATCAGTGGTAAAGGTACTCTATCTTGAAAAGTATCAAAAGCATTCCAAAAATAGATAGATAAAACCAAAAACAATATACCATACATATGAAATATAGGACAGCCACAAAAACAATGAGCAAAGAAATACAACACAATACCTATTAAAATAAGGATTGGCCAAGTTAACAATATATCAATGAATAAATAAGTAAATAAAATACAAAAACCATAAATAATATGCTACAGTTGAAAATGTATATATGTATATATAATAGTACACTTTGCGTCTTAATCGAGCTTTAAGTTTATGTCTAAATAATGCCACTGGCAAGATTTTAAAAGTGTTTGGCAATTTATTGAACAGCCTAATACACATTTGATTTGGCTGAATTCTGTTCTCAACAGTCTATGAGCAGGAATCTGCAGGACAAGCGAATTCCTAGTTGAGTAACTCATTATGGTCGTTAACTTTGGAAACATACCCAATTGACTGAAATAATTATTTCGATGAAGATTATTTATTCATAATCACATCTACTTCCAAGGTAAGATCACACCCCCCCAGCTTGTCTCGTAATTACGGATAGGATTTCGTATTCTCAGAATATGTTAATTGCTGCTAAAACATACCTCAGTTATGAATATGCGTAGTCAGTTGTAATTTCGACAATCCATAAGGTAAACTTTGTTGTGTCATAATCCAAAATGACAATGCAGTCGAAGCTATCTCGCTTATCCCAGATTACACAGGTCACTGGTGGCAATTTAAGCCCTAGCGTATTTGCGAAAAGGCTGAAATTAAAATTTAGCTAATTACAGAATGCTGAAAGATGCTTGCACACGATATGTGGAATTTTGGAGATCGGTTAAGTTTCCTCGAAATTTGTTATGCAATTTTTCACTTCTCATCTTCACTTACCCTGGTTGAATGAGTTCGGGTGGAATATTAATCATGCCTCCTGCATTTTTTTCTTGATTCTAGTTTGATCGTATTCGTTAGTTTGTCGAACGTCTACAATTAACACGTTCATGTCGTCAAGGCGTTTGTAAAACTCCTCAGGTGTAAGGAACAATCCTAGAATATAAACTTTCTGATTACCAGAACACAATTAAACATTGTAAAGGACTGGTCTTGCGAATGCGCCCGTCATATTGGTATACCAGGTCTGTGAATTAAGTAATGAGTCTTTTTCTCTTCCCAAAGTTGAAAAATCACTCAAGCGAAATCATTTTGGGATACTCGAAAACACTCGAACGACTGTAATCGACAGAATCCGGAATGTTGTGCGTTCAAATCGACGGTTGACAGACAGAATGATTGGGGAAGAGTTAAATTGGACACACAAAACTATTCATAAGAGACAAGAACTCTGGGTGTAGCAGCACTATAATGCTCCTAGTCACACAGCAATGTCAATAAGCGAGTTTTTGGACATTAAAAACATTCATGTTTCTCCTCAGCCTCGTTATTTGCCCGACTTGAGCCCTTGTGACTTTTTTCTCTCCCCGAAATAATTGAAAAATCACCTCAAGGGAACCCATTTTGGGACTCTCGAAAATGCTCAAACGGCTGTAACGGACCAGGCTATTCCAGTATCGGAGTTCCAGCACTGCAATGAGGAGTTGAAGAACCATCTACAGCACATCTACAGCACTGTGTGACTTCAGAAAGAAGTTATTTTGAGGGTGAAAATATACAATTGCAATTATATTTAAATCGAAGAATTTTAAAAAATTGATCTCTACTTAATTTACAGACCACGTACACCCTAGCGTCTCCAAGTTTCCCTTAGAAGTAATAAAAACAAGCTTTATTTTCCTTTTGAAGGAAATTGTTTACTCCTTATCATGGCATCAAGCTCCCTAAGATAAATCACTTCACGTAATTATCCGTAAAATTCCATACTCTCAAAATTCCTCAATTCCGCAACCATAACTCCCGGCAACATTTACGCCACAAGGCTGTGGTCGACAGGTATACATAGTGATCCAAGACCCGGAATGGCAAGGTATTTGAGAATATTAAAGGTAGTATAAATAAAACAGTAGGGATATAATATGTTTTACTAGCTATCCAGTGGTGCCCTTCACTTTGACTTGAAATCAAATCAAGGTCAAGCCATTTTTTAATATGATCCGAAACTTTCGACCCCCGAAAATGTATAGAGCTAAAGTGCAGTTATGACCTCGTATGGAAATTATGTTGACCTTAAACTTCCTCGTCAAGGTCATCATAAAAAAACCTTGGTTCAAAGGAGTGCATGGATCTTTGTAAATACAATCCTCATTTCCTTCTCAACTTATTCACCGATGACCTTGAAACTGAGCTTCACCACGACCTTGAAAGTCAAATCAATTATCTTTAATTATACTCCATATTTTTAATCTCAAACAGATAAAGCTGAAAAATTCAGATTTGACTTTGTGTGTAAATTATTTTGATCTTAAACATCCTCGTCAAGGTCATCGTAAAAAAACCTTGTTTGAAAGGAGTTCATCGATCTTTCTGAAGATAAAACTTCAATTTTTCTCAGGCCATTCACTGATGACCTTGAAACTGCGCCTCACCACGACCTTGGAGGTTAAATCAACTTTCTTCAATGATACTCTATATTTTTAACCTCAAATAGATAAAGCTTTAAAATTCAGATATGTGTAAATTGTGAAAATCCTCGTTTCTAAAGAGTTCATGGATCTTACTTAAGATAAAACTTCAATTTTTCTTACGCCATCCACAGGTGATCTTTAAACTGAGATCTATCATGACCTTGACAATCAAATCAATTTTGTTCATTGGTACTCAACAGTATTAACCCCGGAAATGGAAAGGAAAAATTCACGTTCAGTTGTAGCCATGAGTGAAATTTTGTTTGAACGATGTACGACCTTGTCAAATTCAGCGCAAAGACATCTGATGACAAAATTTCAGAGATGTTTCTAAAAACTAAAAAAAAAAAACTTCCTGGTGATCTTCAATCTTACCTTGGTTGTCAAATCAAACACTTTTTGTATGATGCAATATATGTTTGATCCGAGAGACGGATAGAGTGAAAAAATTACTTTTAGACATGACCCATTTCCATTTCGGTTGAATATAGTCGCTATCCAGAACAATCGAAGACTGGTCTGAAAGCGTATTGCTGCTATGCGGAGCTCTCGAGCTGATAGAAAGTTTTTCTTGAAGCGAAGTTGTCAAGACCTTTTACCTAAATGATATCATTCAATTAGAGTTTAAAAATAATTCTTAAGTCGAAAATTTTATTTTGGTTCTTGCCTACAGTAAATTCACCAAAGCATATTCAATACTACACAGTGTAACTTCTGATAATAAGAGGAGTTCGTGCATTGCATGCGTTATGTCTCGAAGCGTGTGCCGAGCAGAAATATTCACTTGCAGGGAAATGCGAAACTGCACGGTATTAGATACTAGGGTTTTACTACTCAACTTGTACAGGGTGTCCCAGAATGTGACCGACTAATTTAGAACATAAAAATTAGTCGGTCAAGTTCCTGTAAAAATTTCCTAATATGAACCGCAGCTGTATAAATTACCGAATTTTTGAGAATATCCTATCATGACCAATTATTATACAGGGTGTAGAAAAAATTAACGATATTGCTTAGGGTTAGTGCCTCCCTGACTATATAAAAAGTCAATTGTTTTCTATGGACACATCGTTT